AGAAAGGGGACTGTAAGCAACAGAACTCCACAATATTGTAACAAAACCTCAGACCGCCAAGAAGGGGCCCCTTCCCCCTAGTAAATCACTCTTTTTAGGTTGTTCTCATTAGAATTCAGAGATGTGTTGGGGTCTCTGGCCTGGCTTCCTACTAAAAGGTGACAACTGATTATTTAACAAACTTCCAAGAAAGTTTCATGTAAACAAGAAAGTCCAGGAAAAAAAAAAAAAAACTTGGAAAGAGAGGTACCAGAAGTGACACGCATTCACACAATTTGGATTTCACTGAAGATCATGCTCTAATGCAAGTTCCATTTGACAAACCAGTTTCCTGGTTGGAGAACCTCTTCCCTATTTGTGGCCACTTAGAAGCACAAAAAGGCAACAATAGATCAGGCAAAAAGGGAGAGCTATAGCACAGGTATTCTGTTGGCGATCATTAATCTAAATTTGAAAGCCAAATCAGGAAATTGCCCTGGCTTTTCCTAATACGCTATGCAGTCTTTATGAGAGTATAAAAATAATCTAATGTCAAGATATTTTCAAATTCTTTAAACACAATTTGCCCCTTCAAAGAAAATAGGATTTGACACTGGATTAAATAAATTACAGAATATTTTAATGTCAAAACTTATCATAACGTCTAAGATGAGCTGCTGAAGCAGAACCTAATAGCAATATTCATCATCAATTTTTAAATCAGTTAATTGTTTTGTTTTTGCTTTTTGACACAGGGGCCTCAGTTCTGTAGCCCAGGCTGGCCTCAAACTCATGATCTCTCTGCCTTAGTTTCTTAAGTACTGGGATTCCAAGGGTGTACTACCCAATAATGGGTTTTAAATATGAAGGAGAATTAAACATCTTACTCTAACTATCCGTCGTGCCAAGTAGAGAATACTTGAGATTTGAATTCATCACAGAAGAGTATGAGAAAATACAGTTTCCTTCATTTCATTCACCAGACTAAGATTTGTAAAGGCTTTTGTACAAATCATAGTTTTCTTTTCTTTAAATATCCAAAATTCCTAGGTAGAAACAAAGGTAGATTTTCATGACTAGCTTGATGTCATCTAGCTGGATGTAGATCAGTAGAACATGTGCTTAGCATGTGCAAGGCCAAATCCTAACCACAATACCAAATGAATAAAGATAAAAATGTTGTTTTCTTTTTCTTTTTTGCCAGTCCTGGGGCTTGAACTCAGGCCCTGAGCACTATCCCTGAGCTTCTTTTGCTCAAGGCTAGCGCTCTACCACTTGAGCCACAGCTTCTTCTCTATATGTAGTACTGAGGAATCAAACCCAGGCTTCATGCATGCTAGGCAAGCACTCTACCACTAGGCCACATTCCCAGCCCCCCAAATGTTAGTTTCTAAAAAGTGAATCTTAATATCTCTAAATTACTTGTGGGTTTAGCTAGAGGCTCAGAACTAGGGACAAAACTTCTTCCCAGGGCACCTGGGGCAGTACCTGAACTTGGGGATGTGACACTGGCAATTGTAAATAGAGAGAAGCTGGGGATACTGCTAAACATCCCATAATACTGAGGACAATGTCTGCGTCTGGTTCAAAGTGCCATCATTGACCAACCCTACCTCAAACAACGCAAACATGCTCCGGGCAGCTTCCATATCATAACCCCATACCTGCTCCAGCCAGTTGCTTGACATTGAAACATTCCTATTGAACTTGGGAGTTCCTAATACAGCGCCACTGGAGTTTGCTCAGTGGGCCAAAACAAAAGTAAATAACAGAATGAACTATATAACATTCTTCCTCACCTAATGTCTTCCTGTTATTGGTATTTTAATCAAAACCTTGGAGGGACGATCTTTCCATGAACAATAGAAAGCGGAAGCCCTGTGGTATTTATAATGACCAAAGGTCAGGGGGAAATTATTCTCTGTCTTTGTATACAAAGCTGGAAGTTGAAAAATGGAATAGACTTAGGTAGTTCCTATAGTGCTGAAATGATAAGAAAGGGATTTGAAGAGCCAGAGAATAGCAGAAAGTTCTAGAAGGGTCGATGACCAGGCTAGTTTGCAAGACAAATGGTCTGACTGATACCACATGCTTTACTATGGATACAAATGCAGGGCTGTGCTGCAGCTCAGTGGTATAGCTTGTCCCTGGCAGACATGAGGCCCTAGGGAAAGATCTCAGGGTAGGGGTGGGTGATGGGGAACAATGCTTTTTTCAAAAGTAGGAAATTAGCCAGGTGCTAATGGCTCATGCCTGTAATCCCACGCTTGTAATCTCAGGAGGCTGAGATCTGAGGATCGCCATTCAAAGCCAGCCCAGACAGAAAAGTCCATAAGACTCTTATCCCCAATAAACTACTCTGAAAAGGCTTGAAGTGGCACTATGGCTCAAGTGGTAGAGCACTAACCTTGAGCACAAAGAGGCTCAGGGCCCTGAGTTCTAGCCCTAGGACGGGCACACACACACACACACACACACACACACACACACACACACACACACACACACACACACACACACACACACACACACACAAGTAGGAAATTTTCTGGAGCAAATCTAAACTGAGGGGCAATGTTTTCTCTAATCTCAAAGAAAATCTGTTGTTTTAAATTGTTCATCAGATGCTACTGCCACCAAGCAGAGCTGATTAGGAAGAGGAGTGGGGGGAGCTTTTGTATTTCCTTAACAGAATTAAAGGACAGGAAAACTAAGGGGAGGGTAAAACCCAAATGAAAATACTATACAGCTGGCATCACTGTGATAGGGGTGAAAAATAAAACTCAGCCAAGCTTATACAGAAATATTGCACTTACCCCATTTGTTTGAACTGAATTAAGTATACTCAGAACCTCATGTGGTAGCTTATGCCTGTAATCCCAGCTACTTGTGAGTCAGAGGAAGCAAGGAAAAAATGGAGAGTTTGAGGCTAGCCCTGGCCAAGTTAGGGAGACCCTACCTCAAATACAAAATAAAAATAAAAAGACTAAGGACAGAGAGTTTTCCCCATGCCCTGGGTTTAATATCTAGTGTCTGTCTGTCTCTCTGCATATCTATCTCTCCCTTACACACACACACACACACACACACACACACACAGAGAGAGAGAGAGAAAAAGAGAGGGAGGGAGAGAGAACTCAGCGAAACTGTCCTTAAAAAGTTTTGTTCACATTAAACCCTCATGCACAACTTGGTATGTGTCGATCAAGATCATTTTCTGAGGTCAGATTTAATTATGTTGGAATTGAATGCCTTTTATTTCCAGAAAAAAGATAATTTAGAGATGAAAAATATTATTTTGATGCAAACTAAAACTGATTCCATGATCCAGTAGCAAAGAAAAAGAAAGGTGAAATTACAACATTTCCCTCTTAATAAAGGCAGAATGATGTGAATTCATCTTTGGAGGAAAGTGAGAATTTTCTTATTTGCCTCTGGCTCCAGCATCTCAAACAATTTTATGAAGGAGAGAGTTTGGTTCATATATCACTCAAGGATATTTTTTAAAGAATCTCCAGTTTGTATTTCTAAAAATCAGAAATGTTGTCTTTTGCTCCTTTTTTAGCTTATATATTGCTTAATATATAACCCAGCAGACATCTAAAAAAGCAAACAGTTCTAGAAATTTTTCTATTTACCTATCCAAGGCCAACTTAAACACAGAGAATAAACATTCAAGAAACTCTACTATAGATCAGAGCAGCATACTCATCAAGCCTCACATTTAGAAATAAGACCATTTGCTTTGTTTTATTCTGTTTTGTTTAAGACAGGGTCTCCTTTTGCTGCCTAGGCTAGCCTTGAACTCCTAGACTCAAGTAATCTTCTTGCCTGGAACTACAGGCATGAACCACCAGGCCCAGCAAAGACAAAACTTCTGAAATGATTTTGTGCTAAAAATGTGAAGGAGGCATTGTTTCTGTTATTATCTCAGCATTTCTGATGAATTTTAGGCAGATTCCAAATAGGGCTGAAAGCTTACAAAGCATAAGAGACCATCACTTTTAATTCTGCAACCTATCACAGAAGATTCTAGTTTTTTAAGTAAGGTACTCTTCCTTTCCCCAATTTTCTCATCTCGATGAGACCTGTTTAAATATTGAGGCCTAAACAATGTGCTAAGTACATGATAAATGCTTCTCTACTAATGATACAATTGGATTATGTGTCTGAATCAAATTACAATAAATTTATTTGAACTTGGTAATATGGGTCAGAGACCTAAAAGAAAATTCTAAGCTCCACAATTGAAAACAGCAGCTGAATTAATTTTCATTTCTCATTTGGACACCAATTTTTTTCCAATCAAGTTGGTAATTGAAAACCATAATAAATACTTTAAAGTATGTCTAATTAAAGAAGAGGCAGTCTAGATAATTTATTTAGCAAAAATGAGCGCTCAATGGCATATACTCTTCTAGCCCAGGAATACTTGTCCCTGATAAACACTACCCTGATTAACGTGATCATGTAAAAGGAACTCTAAGGAAATTTGGACAGATAAGTAAATTATCACCAAAGCCATGAATGTCATGAATACAACTGGAGACTCTCAAAGACCATAAATACATATTTGTGTCATACTTAAGGAAGCAGAAGAATCTCTATATGTCCAAGCAAAGAGAATATATTACATATTTAAATAACATGCTATAGCTGTAGTTCAGTTCCAAGCAGAGAATAAAATTTTGTTTTCTCTCATCTCACAAAACCAAGAAGACAGAAAATATCTTTTCTTCCTTCCCCCATTAAACTCTACCTCTTCTAATGTTCTCAGAACATTTTCCAACCTGAATAAGTACTTGTTTTACATTTCTCCAACAATGAGTAGAAGAAAAGATACTCTTGAAGTGCCACAAATACCTCACTTCCCTCTCCCATGGACTTTGAAGGGGATGGGAAAAAACACAGCTATTATGATACTTCAGTTTTTTTCTATATAGACAGTGAGCTACGCCTCTCACCCAAGAGTCAGCTAAAAGCTACAGAGTGCAGCTCAGTGGTACAGCCCTTGTTTCACATATACAAAACCTTGGGTTCAATCTCCAGCACCACAAAAAAATAATAATAATAATAAAAGGAAGAACTATTTTAAAACCAGTGTCCAGAGTTAAGAGTTCCCCCTTCAGTATCCCTGGTCTATGTGCTAGTGTACTTTGCTTTAGAAATCACAAAACTGTTGAAGAGCAGCAAGAGATACCCAGAGGAATGAAAAGGGGTTAGCAGCCACATGAAAACCAACAGATATGTTCCACTAAATCCTAATTATCCAACCCTTACTGAACACAGAGAGTGCAAGGTTGGTTCGAGCCCACAACCCACAAAGCTGTTTCCACAAGCCAAGCTGGTGGTTCCAATGCACCTAAACTACATAGAGTCTGATCTTAGGGGAGTACCAGATCAAAAATGTGTACTGTTTTCAGAATGTTGTTCCTCCCAAGTTTTGTTAATAGTTTGTCCGTGGTCAGGCAGACAGCCATCCAAAGGCACGTCAATGGCTACTTCAGTGGCTTCTCTTCTACTTCGATATATCTCTAGAGGGCCACCATTGTGCTCAGCACAGCCATTGACATGAGCCAGGGGCAGTGCTCCAGGAGGACAGCACAGCCTTTTAGCACAGCCGTTGGAGATGCAGGGGCTGCTGCATTGAAACAGTAAGTCTTTCTGCTCCAGGGGTTCCTTCAAGTCCACCTTTTCAAACTGAATGGTCAGGTTGTGGATTCCTGCATTGTGAAAGATTTCTCGAATTTTTGTGCTGGCATCCTGATAACCTGTGTCCTGCTGGTACTTGATGTGCAGGGTGGCAATGATCTTCCCACTTACAAGTTCCCAGATGTGCACTTCATGCATGCTGCTGATTCCAGGCACAGAAGAGAGTTTGCTCACTAGGAGAGAGAAGAGTAGATGATAGGAAATTGTGAATGCAGTAGGGGAGACCCAGAACCTAGAGGTGTAGCTGTTTAAGCTCATCACCCAAACAATGTGCATTTACTAAGACTAACAGAAGAAAAAAAAATCACTGATCCTCTATGAATAGATATTTCCCACCATCTTCTTTCTTCTCTCTGAATGCCTACACCATGGTCAGCCCATAAAAAGCAATTCAAATGAACAAGTGTAATAAGAAGAAGAAAATGCATAGGCTTGCTGAATGTACAGAGAATGGCTCCCAGTGAACGTCCATGAGCATTAAGTAGAATAGCTCTTTGAAAGAAGAAGAATTTGACAAATATGGGTGGAAAACATTTGCCAACAAATCTAGAACTAAGGTTTCGCCCAAAGGATATAACCAAATATCCATGTACATGAACAGCTTGGGCCATGCTCTTTGGAGTAATAAAAACTGGAAACAAAAACGCAATGCCTCCTATCTTTTGTCCTCTATCTTCTTCCTCTCCCTGCCTGCAGCACTGGGCAAACAGCAGGTACTCAGGAAATAGAGGCTGGTTATTTTAAAACAGTCAGAGCAATGCTTGCAGAGAAGAGACTAAAAAATACAACTAGAATGTCCAGGAGAAGATGCCTGAAGAGGAACTGAGGCTGTTGTAATGATCCTACAGACTGGCCACAGTGGGTATACTCAAACATAGTTACCAGAGCTATAACCTTACAAACAAAGTGATACTAGAGCTGGAATTGTAGCCGAATGGTAAGATTGTGTTTGGCATATGAGGAGTCATGAGTTGAGTCTTCAGCATTAAACACACATGTATGTGCACATGTGCACACGCACACACAAACACACACAATTCACAATGCAAGTTACCCCTATATCTGGAACAATCTACCACTGCCATAGACTATATTGTTGTGCCATTTAAACTGACTGTCAGAGAGGAAACAAAGGAGGAGGCAACAATGCTTGATAAGAAATGTACTCATTACCTTGCCCATGTAATTGTAACCCCTCTGTACGGTATTTTCACAATTAAAAATATATATAGAAAAATAAATAAATAAATAAATAGACTGACTATCAGGCAGATCATAAAACAGATCTTCTAACTTCTACTCCCTGTTTTCTGGCTCACCAATGAAGCAATGTATAATAATAACCATAACAAATATGTATAAAATACTATTGTTTTATATAAAAACTGAGTTTCTGCTGTATAAAAATGTAGTCTCCTTTTAAAAACTAGAAATAGGGCTGGGAATGTGGCTTAGTGATAGACTGCTTGCCTGGTATGCAGAAAGCCCTAGGTTTGAATCCTTAGTAACACATAAAAAGAAAAGGCTGGAAGTGGAGCTGTGGCTCAAGTGGTAGAGAGCTATCCTTGAGAAAAAGAAACTCAAGGACAGTGCCCAGGCCATGAGCTCAAGCCCCAGGACTGGACAAAAATAAGTTAAATAAATAAATAAGTAAATAATTGAAATCATACAAAAAAATGTCCTCATGGGGCTGGGAAGGTGGCTCAGTGGTAGAGTGCTTGCCTTGCATGCATGAGGCCCTGGGTTCAATTCCTTAGCACCACATAAGCAAAAAGAAAAAAGCCAGAAGTGGCGCTGTGGCTCAAGTGGTAGAGTGCTAGCCTTGAGCTGAAGAGCTGAGGGACAGCGCCCAGGCCCAGAGTTCAGGCCCCACAACTGGACCCAAAAAAAAAAAAAAATGTCCTCAGGCAATAATGGAGTTAACTTGAATCCTACAAAGACAACAGCAAGCTGAACACCAGTGGCTCACACCTATAATCCTCGCTATTCAAGAGGCTGAGATATGAGGATCATGGTTCAAAGCCAGCCCAGACAGGAAAGGCCATAATAAGACTCTTATCTCCAATTAACCACCAGAAAACCAGAAATGGCACTGTGGTTCAAGTAGTAGAGAGCTAGCCTTGAGCTGAGGAGCTCAGGGACAGCGCCCAGGCCCAAAGTTCAAGCCCATGACTGACAAAAAATAAAAAAGTGTGACTAAGTCAGAGCATCCTGGGTTACAAGGACCTTTGGTTCTTGGAGCTGCACATCATCTTCCTAGGCTGCCAAGCACCCAGGGAAATCTTCGTGGCAGTTGCAGAATGCACAAACCAAACAGCACTTTGCACAATGCTAGCCCTCCAACTGCACTAGCACTCCATCTCAGCATCCAGTCCCCAGTCTACTTACTCAGCTCTTCCATGTCGACTCCCTTGGGGACCATCTGCAGCAGAATGGCAGCAGTCTCCTTGATGAGCGGAAAGGCCGATGACAGAATAATGATGACCATGATGATGGTCAGGCTGGGGTCAATGTAACACTGCCAGTTACATGGCGCTTCAGCGGTCAGGGGACGTAGGTAGAATATGACAGCAGTGATGACCACAATCACAGACCCCAGCGCGTCTCCCATCACATGTAAGAGAACGCCTGCCGTGAAGAAAGATACTGATAAAGCCCACAGTCCCACAGTACTCGGATTTCCAAGTAGAGGGATATCTGTTGCTACCTGTGTACTTTGCAGTTAGCACTCCCGCAAACATCAATATGGAAATAATCATAATAATGGCAATACTTCCTCTGAAATCAAAGCCAAGGCTACAAATTCCAGGATGCAGAGAGCCCGGGAATGGCCAGGAGGATTCTTGGTAGCTGTCAATACGTGGGTGATTATCTCATCTCACAGTGTGAGATGAAAATTCTCTGGTGGATCGAACACATCCAAGAAGAAAGCATCCAAGACACACAGATGAACCAGAGAGGGGCTGTTTCATATCTTGCCCTCCTCCTGCCCTGAAAAGATTTTGCCCCACACTGATACGCTGGGAATGTGGCTTAGTGGTAGAGTGCTTGCCTAGCATGCATGAAGCCCAGGGTTGGATTCTTCATAAACAGAAAAAGCCAGAAGTGGCACTGTGGCTCAGGTGGTAGTGCTAGCCTTGAGCACAGAAAGGCTCAGGGACATTGCCCAGGCCCTGAGTTCAAGCTCTGGGACTGGCAAAAAAAAGGAAGGAAGGAAAGAAGGAAGGAAGGAAGGAAGGAAGGAAGGAAGGAAGGAAGGAAGGAAGGAAGGAAGGAAGGAAGGAAGGAAGGAAGGAAGGAAGGAAGGAAGGGAAAGAAAAAGAAAGAGAGAGAGAAAAAAGAAAGAGAGAAATGAAAGAAACATGCTATCCCTACATGAGCAAGAAAGCTGTTTGCAAGAAAAAGAGATCCCAGAAGCAAATATGTATGATATAAGAATAAATGCAATATAAAATAAATACAAATAAAAGTATAAAAATTAGAAAGAAAGGAAATAGGGAGAGAAGGAAGGAGTGGGAGAAGGAGAGAGAGGGAGGGAGAGATAGAAAAGGAAGGAAAGAAGGAAGGAAGGAAGGAAGGAAGGAAGGGAGGGAGGGAGGGAGGGAGGGAAGGAAAGGGAAGGAGGGAGGGAGGGAGGGAAGGTTGATTCTCAGGCCCAATCAGAAAGTCAGTCTCCATTTTACAAAGGAAGAAAATGAAACACAGAGTAGTGAGTAATTTGTACAAGATAATACAGTTATGAATATGATACATAGCTATATACATAGATACATAGATATAGAAAGAGAGGCCAATCCTCATCTAGTGATAAGGATAACAAGAGTACCAACCTCATAGGCTTGCATGAGAAAAAAAAAACATATATAAGAAGAAAACACATAAAGTGCTTAGGCTTATAGTAAAATGAACTACTACTTTTATTGACTCTCTACTTTGTGCCAGGTGCTAAACATGAATGAGTTGCTTCATGTTTACAATCATCTTCCTAGATAGATATTAGTGTCATTTAGGTCCTGAGTGCAATTAGGAGACTCCAGCCCTGCTGTTTCAGTAAGGGTTAGCTTAGAACATGCCTGTAGCTTCTCATGGTTACCCTGACTTACCCTGACTGTATCCTTTCCATATCTTGGGCACAGAGTAGCTCAATAATGTGTCCAAGATCACATAGCTAAAATGTCTTTCAGAGGGAGAGAAGCCTGGGAAATCTGCTTAATGGAACCCTGTACAAAGTTCTGAATATTAAAAAAAAAAAGCCTGCTGAAAGAATCAGCCCCTTAAATTCTTCCTTTGTTATCATCATTAGTTACTATTTGTATCTGTGGAGAAAGCTCAGGGCCTCACACATGCTATGCAAGCACACTACCGCTGAGCCACACTCCCAACCCCAGCAGTGGGTTGTTGGCCTCCCACACAAAGATGAGGAAAGCCATTATCCTCTGGGATATCACCAGTGCACTAGTGATATTCTTTTTCTTTAATTGATGCAAATACAAACTGTTTGTGTATATAGGGTATCATGTGTTGTTTTGGCATATGCATGATGTTCAAACAAGAGAAAAACATGTATTTCCTCCAATCTTTGTTGTCTTTATGGTGAGAGCACTCAAAAAAATCCTTTCTTCTTGCTTTTTGGGAAGGCATACTGTACAGCGTTTTGGCTGTCTGTAGTCACACTGGTGAACAGCAGCACAGGCAGGATCCATTCACTTGCAACCTGGGGAAGGAAGGAGGTCTTCTGCCTCTCCTACTATCAACCTTGGTAATTTGTGGAATAGATCCTCGATCTTGTGCCTAGCTGTGCCAAACATCCAGGTCATGCTTACCACAGTACCAGGAAGATGGTACCAGTATCTTTATAAACAGATGAGGAGGCCAAAGCTAAACAGGAGTTACTGGGCTAGAAAATGCAGAGACAGAAAGCAAGCCAGATCTGCCTGCCCTGGGAAGGTATGCCCTTCTCCACTGGCTCTACTATACAGCAAGTACAGAGCAGTAAGTACCATAAGTACTGAGAATGGCAGTGCAGGAGGGAAGAAAGGGGCAGAAATTTCTAGAAAGAAGTACTGGCAACAAATAGCAAGCTTTTGATTTCCAGCAGTACTCAGACATTTTATTGAACATAATAAAAGTTTGTGAGCAAACCCTGCTATGGTCTCATCTGTGATTCAGAGACAAGTCTGGTAGAGACAAAGATCAGCATTCTAGCCACGTCAGTCACCTGATTAGTCACAGTGCTCAGAAGACTGGAGTCCTTTACAAAGTCAGGAATCCTCTGTACCTGGGCTGGGAAGGTGGCTCAGTGGTAGAGCGCTTGCCTTGCATGCCTGAGGCCCTGGGTTCAATTCCTCAGCACCACATAAGCAAAAAGAAAAAAGCCGGTAGTGGCGCTGTGGCTCAAGTGGTAGAGCACTAGCCTTGAGCTGAAGAGCTGAGGGACAGCACCCAGGCCCAGAGTACAACAAGCCCCATGACTGGACCCAAAAAAAAAAAATTGTAAGGAATCCTCTGTACCTACCCTTCACATGTCAACTTGGAATTTTAAAAAGTAAAGAAAAAAATAGCACCGGTGGCTCACACCTGTAATCCTAGCTACTCAGAAGGCTGGGATCGGAGGATCAAGGTTCAAAGCCCCAGAGAGGAAAGTCTGTGAGACTCTTATCTCCAATTAACCACAAAAAGCTGGAAGGAGAGCTGTGGCTCAAGCGGTAGAGCACTAGCCTTGAGCACAAAAGCTTAGAGACAGCACCCAGGCCTACAGTTCAAGCTCTAGGACAATAATAATAATTATTTTTATTATTAATAATATTATAAACAACCTCAGACTCATATATCTCATGATCTGGCAATCTGACTAAAATTGACATTTGGTAAATGTAAGAATCTTGCTGGGGGGGGGGGGGGGGGCTGGGAATGTGGCTTAATGGTAGAGTGCTTGCCTAGCATGCATGAAGCTCAGTACCACATAAACAACAACAACAACAAAAAAAAAACCCTAGAAGTAGTACTATGGCTCAAGCAGTAGAGTGCTAGCCTAGAACAAAAGAGGCTCAGGGACAGTGTCCAGGCCCTGAGTTCAAGCCCCAGGACTGGCAAAAAAAAAAGAAAAAAAAAAGAATCTTGCTGGGCGCAGGTGGCTCACGCCTGTAATCCTAGCTTCTCAAGAGGCTTCTCTAAGGATCATGGTCCAAAGCCAGCCTGAGCAGATAATCCATCAGACTCTTACCTACAATTAACCACCAGAAAACTGGGAGTGGCACTGTGGCTCAAGTGGTAGAGCGCTAGCCTTAAGCTGAAGAGCTGAAGGACAGCGCCCAGGCCCAGAGTTCAGGCCCCACAACTGACAAAAAAAAAAGAACAGCTGGAGTAAGCAAAGTCTCCAGAACATGACATTTTTCAATTTTAAAAGTTGCCAAGGAGCCGGGCACCAGTGGCTCACGCCTGTAATCCTACCTACTGAGGAGGCTGAGATCTGAGGATCTCGGTTCAAAGCCAGCCCAGGCAAGGAAAGTCCGTGAGACTCTTATCTTCAATAAACCATCAGAAAACCAGAAGTGGCATTGTGGCTCAAGTGGTAGAGCGCTCACCTTGAGCTGAAGAGCTGAGGGACAGCACCCAGGCCCAGAGTTCAAGCCTCATGACCGACAAAAAAAAAAAAAAAGTTGCCAAGGTATCGATGTATTGCAACTATATACTCCAATTATTTGTATACAGAAAGAAAACAATTAACAATTGTGTTTTCTGAAGCAACTGCTTCTAAGTGTACACCGGAGAAGCAAGCCACCCCTGCCTGGAAGCCAGAGGCAGTATGTGATCATAGAAGGAGCCGGAAACATGAAACAGGGGCCCAGGATTCCGGCCCACCTCTATGCTAGCTAAGGAGACACGGGGAAGTCGCTAAATCCTCTAGACTCTATTTTCTCCTTTGTAAAGAGTAAGGAAGGGTGGGAACTCATTCTAAGTTCTTTCTAGCACTTACATTTTGTGGTCCTTCCCTGAATTGAAGGGCCCAGGCCTGCCTCACACTTAACCTAAATCCTGAAAGCATAAGCAAAGGCATGACCTAGCTCATCATTACTAAACCAGCAGGGCCTGGCACCTTACTATTTCACTCAGGACCTGAATGATAAAAGTATCCTTCTAGGAAAATGATAATGAACACCAAATGACTCATCCATGCATGGTACCTGGCACAAGGTAGGCACTCAATAAAAGTGGAAGCTCACTTTCCTGTTATAAGCCTAAGTAGCTTACATGTCTTCTCATCATGCAAATCGATAAGTACTGTTGTTATCTACCTTTATTTAATTAGTTGCTTTTCATTCATTCATTCATTCTTTCATTCATTTGTAATTCTGTGGACTGAATTCCATGTCTCATGGCTACTAGCAAGTATTCTACCACTGATCTCATTATCCTCATTTTAAAAAAATGAGGGGAGCTGGGGATGTGGCTCAGTGGTAGAGTGCTTACCTACTATACATGAGGCCCTGGGTTCAATTCTTCAGTACCACATAAACAGAAAGAGCCAGAAGTGGCACTGTGGCTCAAGTGGTAGAGTGCCAGCCTTGAGCAAAAGAAGCTTGGGAACAGTGCCCAGGCCTTGAGTTCAAGTCCTAGGACTGGCAAAAAATAAAAATAAAAAATAAGGCACCCTAAGTCCTGAAGAGATTCAAGAATATGCCCTAATCTGGGTAGTCCTTAAGTGCCAGAGCCAGGCCTCAAACCTAGGCAGTTGCCAAATTCCCACTTTTTGGCCACTATATTCTTCACCTCTGCCAGGTGCACTTCCGAAAATCCGTCTGGATTGAGTGTTTGGCTAGGTACAGTTGTAGACTAAAGATTAGTGTGTCTCCATCATGTGGAACTAAGAGAATATAGCTCAATGATAGAGCAACTGCCTGGCATGCACTAGGTCCAGGGTTTGAGCCGAACACACACACACACACACACACACACACACACACACACACCCCAAATTAGTAAGATCATACAAACTTCTGAAATAAGGTCATGATCTATCCTATCTACTGTCCTTTCTTCTTTATGCCTACCTATTCTTTCTCTAAACTCTGTAACACAAAAATGAAGGTAATTACTCGTGTTTTAAAAGGGTAAACTGCTACCATAGCAAACTTTACCTTAAAAAATCTTAGATAGAAATCAGGCGTCAAGCCGGGCGCTGGTGGCTCACGCCTGTAATCCTAGCTACTCAGGAGGCTGAGATCTGAGGATCGTGGTTCAAAGCCAGCCCGGGCAGGAAAAACCGTGAGACTCCTATCTCCAATAAACCACCAGAAAACCGGAAGTGGTGCTGTAGCTCAAGTGGTAGAGCGCTCGCCTTGAGCTGAAGAGCTGAGGGACAGCGCCCAGGCCCAGAGTTCAAGCCCCACGACCGACAAAAAAAAAAAAAGAAATCAGGTGCCAAAATGAACCCCAAGATAGGGACACAAGTATTGTTTCTAACATATTTATAATGTACTATGTGATTTTTTTTTGTTTCTTTGTATGTTTCTCCCCCATGGTATAACACCTGTTTTCACTGTAGTTGATTCCAGTGCTCTGCATCTTGTATATACACTTCGTTAATTTGGGGAAGGGAAGGGAAAAAAACAAAATGCTTAAATAGGAATACAGGTTGACCCATTGTAACAATGAGATGTACAAGACACTATGTGGAAAACAAACTTTACAACTTCAGCAAGGCGGGGAAGGGGGGTTGTGGAGGTGGGAGGGAAGGGTTGGTAGGGGAAAAACAAAGGAGGAGGAGGCAACAATGCTGGATAGGAAATGGACTCATTACCTTGCTCATGTAACTATAACCCCTCTGTACAGTATTTTTACAATAAAAAATATACCAAAAAAAAAAGACATCAGGCTCCAGTAGCTCACACCTTTAATCCCAGTTACTCAGGAGGCTGAGTTGTGAGGATCTCTGTTCAAAGCCAGCCCTGGACAGAAAAGTCCCAGTAAGACTCTTATCTTCAATTAACCACTCAAAAACTGGAAGTGATGCTGTGGCTCAAGTGGTAGTGCTAGCCTTGAACACAAAGAGGCTCAATGACAGTGCTCACAGTTGTGAGTTCAAGCCTCACAACTGTCAAAAAAAAAAAAAAAGATAGATGTGTATTTAAACTGGAACTTAAGAAAGAAAGATATATTAAAGGATGATGACTTTTCATTATAGATTCTCTCAAATAGATCTACCACTATTCACTTTAGAAAAGTGAATTCATTTTGCAATTTTTTTCAGGGCTACTGTATTACTGATTTCTGGATATTTTCCTCCCGTAAGTCCGTTCTAAGAATGACTTTATGTCAGGTGTGAGACTTCCTAAACTAGAAAGAATGTCTCCTGCGGGCTGGGAAGGTGGCTCAGTGGTAGGGCGCATGCCTTGTATGCCAGAGGCCCTGGGTTCGATTCCTCAGCACCACATAAGCAAAAGAAAAAACCAGAAGTGGCGCTGTGGCTCAAGTGGTAGAGTGCTAGCTTTGAGCTGAAGAGCTGAGGGACAGCGCCCAGGCCCAGAGTTCAGGCCCCATGACTGGACCCAAAAAAAAAAAAAAAGAATGTCTCCTGGATTATTCTCTTTTCATTATATTATTTTCATCTAATTCTCATTCCACGCTTTTCCCAAACCATATGAAAGTAACGGATTAACCTTTACCTTATACTTCACTGCAATTCTCAAAGTTAAGATTGGGGATTAAACCGGGTGCTGGTGGTAATCCTAGCTACTAAGAAGGCTGAGATCTGAGGACTGTGGTTCAAAGCCTGCCCAGGCAGGGAAGTCCATGACACTTTTATCTACAACGAACCACCAGAAAACTAGGAATGGCACTCGAAGTGGTAGAATGCTAACAAAGAGCTCAAGAACAGCACTCAGGCTCTGAGTTCAAGCCCCACAACTGACAATAAACAAACAGGCTGTATTATACATCAGCAATATCCATGGATGTGCAAAACTGAGTGGAGTAGCAAGATGGCAGTGCTATATGGAACTCAGGAGCAGGGGCAATATGTTGGGCACAACAAGAGCAAAGATAAATCATTAGCAACTAGTTTCTCCTTCCAAATCAATGCATCCATTAGGTAAGACACCCGGGTCATAGTCTCTGCAGGTAACTGGCCTACTTTCCAACACATCATTGACTTATTCAAAGTCAAACAGAAGTGGAGAGCAGAACACACATTTGGAAAGGATTTCAAATGGACCCAAAGTCAATCCTACCTCGGATATTCAGGGCTTCAGACTTTTTCTCCTTTTTCATAGTCTCTTCCAGCTCATTCTGGGTGCTCAGGGAATCACCTGCATTCAAAGAAGAAACCTTGTGTTGTGTATAAGTTCTACAAGCAAAAAGAACCAATGGACTCAAAATAAAGTTTTGTTATTTCAAACTCCTACTAGCATATGGGAACTCCACCCCCTTTCTGTCACACACACCCCAATAGTACCCCTTGACCCTAAAAGGGCTTGGGGTCCAGCTTTGGATTTCATTCACACTTCCTTGCAAATTAAAACCAAAAAAGAATAACTGGGGAGCCCATCCCCACCCCAACACCAGAAACTAGAGGGTGGCCAAAGGGGGAGGAGGGAAACAAAGTTCAGACAGTAATCAATGAAAGGGAGGCGGGAGGAGGAGTGTTGTGTAATGCTCAACAAGAAGAACTGATTCCTAAGAAAATCGATAACTTCCACACACAGAGACTAGAAGAAGACAAATGACAAACAAGAACGCAAAATCGAGGAGGAAATTCAAGTCATTAGGGGGGAATATATACTGTTAGGAGAAGAGAGGTCACGCGGGTGCAAAGAGTATAAAAAAGAAAAAGAAAGAAAGGAAGAAATTCTGACAGGAAGAAAAAGGCGTGGGGTGAGGAGGAAGGGACCAGGAGGGAGGAGGGAGACAGAGGATGGAGGAAGAGGAAGAGAGGAGGAGGAGGGAAGGGCAAAGCCGTCCAAAGGATGCAACCGAAAGGCACCTGCTACATTTGAGAAAACGGTCGCCCCCTTCTCCTGCTTGCTCTCCACCGAAGCCCCCCGGAAGGTCACAGCGGAGTCAGACCCGGGGACGCTCGGGGTCACCGCATCCTGCTGGCCCTCCGTGCCCTGGGGTCCCCCCGAAGCACCCCCCTGGTCCAGCTGTCGCTGCTGCTGCTGCTGCTGCTGCAGGCGGCGGCGGAGGCCCGGGACGCAGCAGGAGAACCAGGCGGCGCAGTCCTGGAAGATGAGCAGCCCCACCAGGTTGACGGCGAGCCCCAGGGCGCCGACGATGAGCACCAGCTCGGGGTCGTCCATGCGCTCGGGCCGGGCGAGGCGCAGCACGGCCTGCACGAAGATGGTGAAGCAGAGCGCGGTGAGGAAGACGGCGTTGCTGAGCGCGCCCACCACCTCGGCGCGCGCGTAGCCGAAGGTGGCCCGGGAGCCCCGGCCAGGGCGCCGCGCGATGTAACCGGCGCTCAGCCCCACGCACAGCGAGATCAGATCCGACAGCATGTTGAAGGAGTCGGACAGCAGCGCGATCGAGTTGCCCAGGTAGCCCGACACCAGCTCGGCCACGAAGAACACCACGGTGAGGACCAGCATGAAGAGCAGCCGGCACGTCTTGCCCGAGTAACGGCCCATGGCTGCAGCCCGGCGGCCCCAACCCGCCGCCGCGTCCTCCCCTCCCGCTGCTCCCCGGCCAGCGCCGCCAAGCCTCGCGCCACAGGTGGGGGGCCCGCGCACGGTGACCGCCCCCTCCCCGACTCCACCGGGGCCCGGCACCCCGCCTCCAGGGCTTCCCCGCCCGCGCGCCCTGCCCAGACGCTGCTTTATAAGGCGGAGGCCCCAGTTCCCCCCCACCCCCAGCAGTCCAGAGTCTATGGGAGTGGCTGAAAGGCCTCAGGTCTCCTCCCTCCGCCCCCGGGGCCTCCTCCCTCGCCACCCGGCCAAGGGCCTTTCCACCCCGGGCTGCTGGGAGGAAGGGGTGGAGGGGAGCCTGTGGGATGTCACTCTTCATAGAGGCCCCCCAAAAGCAGAGGTGGGATTCACCACCTCCTCTCCCTCTTCTCCAGGTCCTCCTTTTTCCCCCCAATGGCCAATGGCCTTGCCCAGCCTGATTGTCCAGGACCTTGACTGTCCACGGGCGTGTTCGCAGTGGTGGTAGACGTGGACACCTGTGCGTACGTGCCCAGTCTCGGGTTGCTGTATAGATTTCCCCATTAACCCTCCTCCTCGTAAGGCCCAGGAGCGTGAACTTGGGCCAACCCTGCCTCTCAGGGCTCTGCCTGCCTTTCTGTTTTATTGAATGTGAGTTCAGCCTTCGCTCGGTACCCTGCTGACGCCACCACCTGTGGTGAGACCACTTCTTCCTCACTGACTTCATGAAGAAGGCTGGGACCATCTCTGTGACCCTCTCCTGGCACTGTTATCCTGGTGCCCTTCTCCTCCTGCGGGGCACAGACACACACGGAGGCTCACACCCAACACTCAGATGCTCATCCGTTCTGTGGCAAACAAAAGTCTCTTGACCAGAAACAAAACGAAACAAAACAGCCACGCCAGGGCCAGCCACCTCAATGGACTTGTCTCATTCTCCACCAAAGACATTAAAGAAACCCCTCTGTACAGCATCTGTACAATAAAATAAAAAACAGGCGCCAGTGGCTCACACCTGTAATCCGAACTACTCAGGAGGCTGAGATCTGAAGATCGCTGTTCAAAGCCAGCCCGGGCAAGAAAGTCCGAGGGACTCTTTTATCTCCAATAAACAACTCAGAAAACTGGAAGTGGTGCTGTGGCTCAAGTGATAGAATGCTAGCTGTGGGTTGAAGAGGTCATTCAGGGACAGTACCCAGGCCCAAAGTTCAAGCCCCGCGACCGACAAAATAAATAAGAATAAGACACTCCCATGGTCTTCTTCACGCCCACTTTATACTAATTTCATCATTTTAGCGCTTTTGTGGTAAAACTTAAGTAGAAGAGCCCTTCCAGCATCTAGCTGCAGGAAAGTGGCCTTCGGGGCTGTTGCTGGGATATATGTTGGGGAAGACCTGGAGCTGTCTGAATGCTTATCAGGATGCCCATAAGGCTAGGTTTTTTGTTCGTTTGTTTATGTTTATGTTTTTAGCATTCTTGGGCCTTGAACTCAAGACCTGGGCACTATCCCTGAGCTCCTTTTGCTCAAGGCCTAGCACTCTACCACTTGAGCCACAGTACCACTTCTGGCTCTTTTCTGAGTAGTTTATTGGAGGTGAGTGTCTCCTGCATTTTTCCTGCCGTGGCTGGCTTAGAACCACCATCCTCAGATCTCAGCCTCCAGAATAGCTAGGATTTCAGGCATGTGCCAACAGAGCACCCCACCCACAAGGCATTTTAAAAATAATTCAGGGCCCGTTGCTGGTGGCTCACACCTGTAATCCTAGCTCCTCAGGAGGCTGAGATCTGAAGATCATGGTTGGTGCCATGATTTCTGTACAGCTAGAAAGGAATTGCCCACCTGGTCAGAATTTCCCTCCTGACCTTTTGTATATCTGATGACTGCCCACTTTGTATGCAACCAGCTTGTATAAAGCCCAGGATCTCCCCTTATGCTGACCCCCTAAAAAGAATATAAAATGTGAAATTAGAGACAGAATAAAATTATTGATTTTTAATAATAGGGCCAAACTTGAGAGACAGGATCTCCCTGTAGAAAACAAAAAAACTCAAGGCTAGTCATTAAAAGGAGAAATTCCAAAGTTAAAGGCTTGAAGTAAATTAGTGAGTTAAATACCCAGTTACTGGAATTCATTAAGTAGTAGCAAAACCATCAATATCCACCATGGGGACTCTCCAGACCAGGGGCGAGGGGAAGTCTGCCCCCTTTTCTGTAACTAGTAGTTTTGATCCAAACACCCATTGCTTAAAGATCAAGAAATGGTTACAGGAGTATTTATGGTTTTAATTGTTTCAGGAATGTTTGTGATTTACATGCTTGCAAAATAACATCTAAGTTCTCCTTCTGTATATCAGCTTGCTTGCATCTACTCTAAAAGAAAGCGTTTATTGCCTTTATAAACCCTGAGCTATTTGAGTTCAAGGCTGCTCATTCCCAAGATGAGCCAGCCCCTGCCAGTCAATCCAATAAACTTCTGCTTTTAAGATACTGGTTACCATCCATGACTTTGTCCAGAGGGTCAGTCCACTTCACCCTCCCTCAGGATTCAAACTTCTTTCCAAAGCCGGGCGCTGGTGGCTCACGCCTGTAATCCTAGCTACTCAGGAGGCTGAGATCTGAGGATCGCGGTTCAAAGCCAGCCAGGGCAGGAGAGACCGAGAGACTCCTATCTCCAATAAACCACCAGAAAACCGGAAGTGGCGCTGTAGCTCAAGTGATAGAGCGCTCGCCTTGAGCTGAAGAGCTGAGGGACAGCGCCCAGGCCCAGGGTTCAAGCCCCATGACCGACAAAAAAAAAAAAAAACTTCTTTCCGGTACTAGCCTGATTCCTGTCATCAGCAATAAACTCGTTTATCCTCTCTTAAAAGTAGTCTTGAGCTGATCAGCACCTCCATAACAAATGAAAAAAATTCTTTTTTTTTTTTGGTCCATTCGTGGGGCCTGAACTCTGGGCCTGGGCGCTGTCCCTCAGCTCTTCAGCTCAAGGCTAGTGCTCTACCACTTGAGCCACAGCGCCACTTCCGGCTTTTTTTCTTTTTGCTTATGTGGTGCTGAGGAATCGAACCCAGGGCCTCATGCATGCAAGACAAGCACTCTACCACTGAGCCACCTTCCCAGCCCCAAATGAAAAAAATTCTAAGTTCACGTTTTTCGTTGCAAAACTTAAAACATACCATGAGTCACAAATTCAGAGATCTTGACACTAAAAACTATTTCTACGCTGGCATTTGCCCCAGAAATAACTTTTTAAAAGAACTTTCTAAAGCAAAAGGGGGAGGGAGGAAGAGTGACCAAATGCCATCATGGTATTCAGCATATGCTATGTGGAAAAAGAACTATGTAACTTTTTTTTTGGGGGGGGGTGCGGTCGTGAGGCCTGAACTCTGGGCTTGGGCACTGTCCCTCAGCTCTTTTAGCTCAAGGCTAGCGCTCTACCACTTGAGCCACAGCGCCACTTCCAGCTTTTTTCTTTTTGCTTATGTGGTACTGGGGAATCAAACCCAGGGCCTCATGCATGTAAGGCAAGCGCTCTACCACTGAGCCACCTTCCCAGCCCCAAGAACTATGTAACTTATAAGCAGGGATGAGAGAGGAAAACTGGGCCAGAGAGGGGGCAGGTTTAGAGGGTAGAGATAGTGAAGGAAGGGGTGACATTATCCGAAAAGAATTTTACTCATGGGGAGGAGAGGTGGGGGAGGGAAATGGCGGGGAGGGGGGAAGATGGGAAGGGATGGGAAGGGGAAACAAAGGAGGAGGCAACAATGCTTGATAAGAAATGGACTCATTACCTTGCTCATGTAATTGTAACCCCTCTGTACGGTATTTTCACAATAAAAAAATTAAAAAAAAAAAAGACACTCCTGAGAGATCCCCTCCTATCCTAAAGATAATCCATACTTGGTGCAGTTCCGGTCCTCACTACCTTCAGACATATAAGAGGTTGCCACGCCTACTCCGGTGGAGTCTGCTTAGCATGGGAAACCTGCTTTCAGACCTGAGAATGGAGCTTCACAGAGACCTATCATCTCTGAGAATGGGACTTCACCGAAGTCTACCTCAGAGAATGGGGCTTCAAAGAGGCCTACCTCCTGGAAAGGCTGGCAGGCCTCTGGGAAAGATGTGTTTCTGTTCCTGTTTTTCTTTTCTTCATTGTATAGGATGCCTATTAATCTTTTACTGTTCCTGCTGCTCATTGTACTTACTCATGCTCAACGTTCCCTTATTCAAGGCTCTTTCTTAAGAGTGTTGACGACTCCAACATCTGATGAGTGTCTTAAAAATATGACTAACTCACCAGAGTTAAATGCTACCCTGAAAGCCCCTCTTATGGAGGCTAGTAGACAAGTCATAAGTAAATATAAAAGTATTGGGGGTTTCACGACGTCACTTCAGCAGAAGGAATTGTTTGTAAGAGATTTACAAGAAGCTGTAGGCGTGGCTAGAGCAGAAAGAGTGTATGGCTACTGGGGACTTTCCTTTAATCCTAAAAACATATACAACAGATTCACATAGATATCCTGTAGATAAGAAAGATGTAGAGGGATATTTAGACCAAAAGCGAAATAAGATTCCTAAAAGGTTGGTAGATAAAAGATGACAATGGCTTATCAGAGGAAAACTGTGGAATCCTCCATTATCTAGAGGACCCCAGAGACTTCCCCTAAATCCATAGCCTTTTACAGGTGTGTATGATAAGGATGGCAATTGCTGAGAAAACTACTTAGGAGAAAGAACTTCTTGTTACTCTCTTTCATTTACTAAGAGACTTGCTAGATCTAGGCCTCCTTGGTACTTACTATTAAAGAAGGAACAGGAAAGATCTTATGGGACAGTTAAGGCCTCTATAGAAAAAAGTAATAGTTAATTGGTGACAAACATCAAAACCCCTTGTATTTCTTAAAAATAGAGGTAAAGCTGGAAACAAGTGCCTATCAGGAGACCAGCTGGTGACCACCCAAGAATGAAGCCCTGCAGCAAGATTGTGTAACCTTTTGCCC